TAAGCAGTAGTTATTATTAATAAATGAATATTAAAATGCTTGTTATGTTAGCGTATGGCATTTGAAGATGTAAAAACTATTCGTGTTTTTATTCATCCAATACGATGTGCAGCTGACTGAGCACAGCTCTGTTCTGTTCAGGCTACCTCCACCCGATCCAGCCGTGCCTTTCATGGAAGGACCAGACGGAGGAAAAGCACCGCCRTTCTGCAGGGAGCACTGCTAGGAACAACCGACCTCCTCGAGTGCAATGAAACTCTCCTTGTGAAGGGTAAAAAGTTTACAGCGAAGGAGATGGGACTACAGAAAAATATTTTTATATGAAATAAGGCTTCAAGAATTCAGACCCGTTTGCTTCCTATTTAATCTTAAAGGCTTTATTTGTTCCTTTTACCTAGGAACACACAGGCAAAATGGTCTAGATGTCTATAGTTGGTTCCTCTGCCTGGCAATCTCTCCAAACAGACAGGGCTAATGGCAAATGCTATATGGGGCAATCTGCATTAGCACCATCTCCCTGACTGGTAGAGTTTGTGAGGGGGAAAAAAGTCCCTGTCGCACAGAATAGCTTCCTGGATGATTAGGAGACAATTATGTTATAATTTTCTGACAGCAGAAATGCACTTGACCCCTGAATGAAGGTAAAAGGGTGTAGCCAAGAGCAAAATACTCCTGTGGGAATTACACCTAGTATTTGGGGAACTTACTTGAGAGCATGTACTCGGCTAGGTGCAGAGAAGAAAAGCTCTTATTTTACTATTTTGCTTCCTGCTTCTTCCTACATATTTTCTGTGTAACTATGATGTCAATCGAGTACTTCAAATGACACATAAGGCATAACTCTTTACAAAAGTACTTTGTACTGCTCAGGGTTCATGAGGTTAATATGAGAATATTCTCCAAACAGGTGCAACGAAAGTATGAAAAATAAGGAAATAGATAACATGAAAATACGACTGTCCTCTTACCACCTCACATATATTTTCATGGCAGCCTTGACAATCAGGAGGGACACAGTGGTAAGATGAGGTGGGCAGATGATTTCAACTGTATTCATTTCTGTCATGCTCTGCATAAGTTATCTTTGTCCTTCCAGCTGTGTCACCCTTCTCTTTTCTGAAAGCTATAGCCTTAAAACAAGAAACAAATTCTCCCGAACTCCAGAACACCCACAACTCATTAAAGGTTTCCCCTTTTCTTCTATTAAGAACAAAGAACACATTACATTTTTCTATGCGAAGTATGCTATTAAATAATAGCTTGTACACTAATTAAAGCAAATGTAATTGTGAGAACACACTGACATTGTTAAAGTAAATTACCCAATTCGCTAATAGTTTCATTTCAAGTGACCTTAATTGTATTAATTGTGATATTGAGCAAATTAAATTGAAGAGTATTAAATGCATTGTTCCAGTCTGTCCTTAGAGGATCAACTTCCTMATTACATCGGTGGAACAGGAATATTGCCTACTGTGTTCTTCAAAACTTGCGTCACGGTGTGCTAAATGCTGTAACTGTGGAGTGAAAATTTACTGTCACTCTAAAAGGGTTACACTGTTCCAATGTAGCAGAAACCTCAAGACTGGAAATGAACAATGTAGTCAGGTACAGCACAAAGTGACAAAGTAGAAGAGCAAAGTTTCTGAAATATTTGTAGAGAGTCCACTGGAGATCAAAAGGGTAAAATCAATTTCCCCGATAAAGACCCCTCTCTGAGAGGAAAAACATTGTTGGAATAAAATGAATAGGGTCATGAGGACTTACAGAACAGAGAAAGTAGCAAGAAAACTCTATATTATTACAATCACAAGAAATAATAACAAAGTATGCATATATAAAGGCATGCAAATTAAAATAGAGGTAGATTAGAAAGTTCTAAATCTAAAATAACATTTAATTAAAAGAATGAAATCTTTCTTCTCAGACTACTTTTCCCAAAACTCAAGAATATTTTGAATTTTCTGCTTACCGTTCACAGACTCACAGAATGGCTAAGGTTGGAAGGGACCTCTAAAGATCATCTAGTCATCAAGTTTTAGTATAAGTTACACACATCAAAAATACAATACTTCATGTAGGTTCACAAATCTATGCCTATGATTAAAGATTTATTTTCATAGTTATCAGCAATGTGCTTTATTTTCTTACCTCACCTCAGTGAACATTTCTATCATTTACTTGCTAAGAAAATATCTCGAATATTTAGCACAGCCTCAAAGAATAATTCAGAGGTCCTGATACTCTTCAATATTGTAAAAAAATATTTCTGACTTATGGACTGCATCTCTTGCAAATTTCTACAATATGTGTCACAGATGTCTTGAAGCAGTACAAGGTGCTTCTTCTATGGTAATGGCTACAAATTTTCACTAAGTAGAGCCTATATCAAGCCTGACACTTGAGAGCGAGTTGAAAAATGTTCAGTCTTGAAAATATTTTAGAGAGGATATGAAATTTAGGAACATCTATTCCACAATGTTTTTTGGCCTAACTGTCCCAACAATCAAAATACCTTCACTAAAATATTTACACATTTATTTCCATGCAGCTTTCAGCCACTGGATCTCATTAAGCCTTCACTAAATTCAAGTGGCTTCTATTCTCTGAGATCTTTTCCATATTTAGGAAATATATCTGTCTTTCCCTGGCCAACCATAACCACATCCTCTGATATTTTTAAGAGAAACTCAGTATTTCTCTTTAATGGGGCAGGGATTCATGCAATTTCATTTTATTTCACAAAGGCATGGGGTGTGCATATACTGGTAGAAAACTAGATAGGTATATGAAAGCAGGGCTATATATCTATATCAGTATGAGTGAAGACAGTTCTTTACCTTTTCTATGGTTTGTTTCCATAGCCAGACACCCCATTTGGGAAACAGTGCTGGCTTCCTCATTCTGAATTTCTAACACAGGCAGCATGGGCAGGAAAATTGTCTACTTYGGTGTCCAAAAACCCAACTCGATCTAAAGCGTATCATTTATCTAAAATGACATACCAAAACTTCAAAGACTTATTTGGGATTTATAAAGTTCCCAATTAAAATGCTGTGAGAGTTGCACAGTAAAAAAGCTCCGAAGATGAAATGGATGCTTTATATAAAATATTTACATAGATAGAACATAAAAAATGTACCATAGTTGGTAACCTTTATGACTTGGGGAACCATGTATTTACATATCTTTATCTTCGCATGTGCGTATGTGTGTGTTGTGTATATATTTTTAACAGTTGACAGCTGTTTTAGAGCATACAGAGATGCCAAGCTGAATGAGGGTCTTGATTACTTCAAGATTAGCTATCTAAAGTTTCTATTCATTTTAAGTGTTGTTAGTGCGAAGAGTCATTAGTCACTTCCTTGTCTCATAGAACATCAGCATACATTTACATTGTTAATGAACATTTGGGGTAAATGAATTAATGGCACTTTTAAACATCAATTCAATACTAATAACTTTGTATGTCATAGAAATGTTAAGGTTGGGATAAAAAATGAGAAACCTTTTCAGTCAAGGTAACTAATTGCTTCTGCACACAACAAAGGCTAAAATTAATTTACAGTGTTTTTGTAACAGGGTAAAAATCTTGATTTGCCTTGAAACAGAGAAGACAGAATTATCAATATTTCTTTTTTAAAGAAAAATAAAAGGAAGAAAACACTTGTCTATTTTCTTGATTGGCRTAGAATAGAAGCCATGTTTCTTCTGGAAAACGGTTATTCTTTTTTAATAACCTAAAATARTATTCCTAAATTTTCAAAAATAGGTACAAAAATGCATTTAGTTTATCAAACTAAAATGGCTCAATATCGTTAAAATGTCAAGCGTAATAGAGGAGGAATACTGACCTGGAAAAAGCTATTGTGTTTAATTTTCAGGTTTAAAAATGCCGTCCCCAAGATGTTCATTTTCATTTTCTAATACTGAAAAAGCTTTATAAAGCCGSGAAGTAAAATTGAAAGAAAAAAATTAACTCAAAGGGGCGATGAAGCTGTACCGATGTGTTTTAAAGCAAAATATCAGCTTCTTACAAACTGAAGTAATAAACCTGACTAAGCAAAACCCAACATAGCTCTTTTAATAAGCACTAGTAGACAGAAGATTTATAGACAGATACACCCACACGGAGTGGCTGATCTGGGTGAGGGACTTAGGAAATGTGACAAAGTTGTTTCAACTCTGTAATTTAAAATAAATTTTTTATTTTACCCTCCTGGTACATGTGTTCAATGACTGGAAAATTACAGGTAGTTAAGGTGCCACTGTCTATAACTGTGTACTTGAGGAATGTTTTCATGACAAGGATGAGGTTTCAAGCTTCTTGTTAAGCTTATCACTTTCTTCTAACTAACAACATTGTCACTACTAGCAAAGAAGTAGAAAAGACAAGGAACAGAGGTAAGTATTGCATTATGCAAGGAGCTTGTCCTCACTGTTCATTAGAGTCTTCTGAATATTGTATTTCATTAATTTACTTGGATTACAAGATAATTTTTACCTTTCGAGCCTGTTAATCCTATCTCATCTTCCACTATTTTTAAAATCAAGAACTTAGATACCATTTGAAAGAATAAAAAAAAAAAAGAGGAAAAGTAACCTTTTTATTTGCATACTCAGATCCAAAGTAACACACTGAACTTCATCATAGAAGACCAAAAGCAAAACAGAAAATACTTCTAAAACCAAAGCAGTATAAAAGAGTCCATCTTCAAGAAAGCAACGCAAAGCCATGATGTATTTAAATATTCTTGTTTTTAAGGCAGTCTTTGGTTTTCAATTAAAGAAGAATGGCAGGACATTAAACATTTGGTTAACATTGCTTTCTGTAATTGAAATGTGGCTTTTCATGGCTTTCATTAGTGGCAGACTGCACTACATGCTCTGTGAATGTTCTTCAAGTTGCTCTGCTCAACTTCATTGAGAGAATTAAGTAAATAATGACAGGTACAGTTATCAAGGCTTCTAAGTACGAAGTACCAAAATACAAAACTCACCTTGCCCCGACTTGTTCAAGTAACTCTGCAAAGGATCAACGCCCATTTCTTGTTCCTCTGTTTGCAAGGGGTGACTGGTTTCGGACACTGAATGATACATATTGGCACTTTTAAGTTCCGCTGAAGAGGATCTGTCTGTGCAGAAAAAGAAACAACAAACAAAAAAAACCCACTTGAGTGTTTCTTTAGCTGCTTTTCATTCACATGAGTCAAGAGGTTAAAATGCTTAAAACTTTTTACTGTTTTTCAGGCACAGCATCACATTAGATGTCTAATAGCGGTATAGTGGTGTTTCTATTCAAATGTTTCAACACTGACGGGAGACGATGAAGATGATGGAGCAAAGCTGAGCTGAGACTTGCCATCATCACCGTTCCAGACGGCAGCCCTTTCACACTAGGACARCTTCCATCAAACACTTGTTTTTCAGGAACCACAAACTAGGAATAAGACTACAGGCAGAGGGATGCAAACACAAATGAGAAGGAAAGAATGAGACAATATTGACTGACATGATGAATGATTTAGCKTTAAACAAGAGCTACATTAACTTTCTAGAGCGGGAAAGTTAAGGAAGTATTTGAAGAAAAAGAATCAGCCAGCTGGTGACCAAGATTTTCCAAAAAGGAAGGGCAAAGTGGAAGAAAGCAGATGAAATCCCAGCAGTTGGGTGATATGGGATTATCACCACAGGCATTCAAAGCAGGATCTCATGAGTGAACAAGAACTCTGTTTAAAGCGTATGTGAGGAATCTTGAAGGATGGAATTTGCTGCAATAAGTGCATGCCAGCAGATGGGTGAAAAGCAGAGAGTGTTACTCATAGCAGTATGAAAGAAAAATGACCTTTTCAGTTCATTAATATTGTACAAGGCTGTATTTGTCAAGACTGCATTTTRGCCATAACGTAGTTTATTAACAGCTTGAAAGAGATGTGGGTAACTTGCAACATAAAAGAACTATGCCGACAAAATGGGCTTGGTGTGACCAGTGACAGTTTTATGTATCATTTATTACAAGTGCATAGTTTAAAAGTATTAACTTTCTACRTCCAGGAAAAATCTATTTAAAAATAAAAACATCAAGACACACAGAGGTAGACACCAACACTTAAAGGACTGATATTTTATCAGCTTARAAAGCACTCAAAATAATCATTCTTTGCTCTTATTCTTAAAGGGCATGGCACTGACCATAGGCTTTTTACTGTCAGTTGCCTGTCAATAAATTAAAGGGAATCCAGACTCTTGAGACTTCTTGAGTTTTACTTCTCTGCTTCACTGTTCTATTAAATTATGAGAAATATATAAGATATAAAAGATGGGCTAGTTGGGCCCATTAGGAATGCCTTTCAAACCAATACACCCAAATGATTTTGAGGAGGAGGGATTCTCAGCTGTATTCCCTGAAGATGTGGCCCTTTACTTGTGCTCCACCAGCAGTTGTGAGGTGCTGAAGTGGTCTCACCTCTCCCTCTCGCTGCATTTTTGCTAGAATCGAGTGTCTGAGGCCCTTGGGACCAGGCAGGACTGCCTGCTCTGGATGTGCAGGCACTTCCTCTATATGTGGAATTATTATAATCATGTAACCATGGCCCCTGGATGAAACATACACAAGTAAAACACAGAATGGCCTTGAATAACTCTCTGTGCTAACTCAAAGCAGATGCATTATGAATGCAAGTGCACTTCATATGTTGCCTATGTCATTTATCAACCCTAATCATGCAAAATGCATGAATGGAAACTTGAAGAAAAAACATTTATAGAGTTGCTAGCCACTTAAATAACATTTCAGTTTTTTCCTACACACTCTTATGGCTACATAACATAAAGACTTCTTTATGGCTACCTGATATTTTAACAAAATGAATGAAAACCTTAACTGAACAATAAATTTACTGAAAGAAATGTAGAGTGAGATGTTTATAGCTACTTCCTGCTGGAATTTTATGCTGCCGCTTTGGTTCTCTGCTGTATCCCTTTACAACTGACCTTTGGATTTCATCTTCACAAAACTTAAAAGCTTCCTTGGAATTGTGCAGTCAGAGTTTCAACTTTTTACTATTATGGACCTTCAGTCATTGCTGTATGATTTRAACAAGCAAAACCTTGAGTGCCGTTCACACTTGGATTCAGGTTCAAAATCACAGCTTTCAACCTCTGCAGTTTTGGCAGCCAACATGTAGTTAACACATGGTATGTTTCAGACTCCTATGTTAATTATGCATCAATAGCAGGCTGTGAAAATAGTTTGTTCTTTTATATGGATATATTCCATATCCATCTCTTTTTATAAATAAATAAATAAATAAATAAATAAATAAATAAATAAATAAATAAAAGTTTCCAAATGCCATCCCTTTACAACATCTAAGAGGTATCATTTACTTCGGTCACTGTTAAGAGTAGTCTTAGACAGCTGAAAAGACTTACTTTTGATACTCACACAGTTCATTTACTTGTTGACTTTGTCTACTAATATATTTGATTAGTGTTATTTTAAAAGGTAATTATTAGTTTTATCACCCCCTAGACCAGGCAATTTTCTTCATAATCTTATACTTAAGCTCTTGTCAGCTTTTCTAACAAACAGCAATGACAACTATTAAACAACTCTGATGGGTTTTGGGATCTTACTCCGAGAAAGATTAATTCTTTGCAAGTTTCTAGTTGATTTGCAATGGCCTATAACATAYTGTTCTTATTAAAAAAGATGTTATTTAACCACATTTTCCAAGACAAACAATAGAAGGGGTATAAAAGCCTTCTGAAAATTCAATTCAACTAACTAAAAATTCAACTAGCTCAGTGCAGGCCATCTAGTTAAATTCTAATATCTCAGGCAAGCTAAAATGGCTTTTTTTTCTATTTGGAGTTTTCTTCTTGTCCTCTCATAAAAGAAGGGGACATAAAACTGAAGACCAGGCACCCCTCCTAGCATGGGGACAGCTCAACTGTTCTTTACTACATATTAAAAAAAAAAGACATAATTCTGCATATGAAACATTTATGCAWTTTAGAGGAATGAAAGGAGACACTCTTCCACCCTCAAGGCTGAGGCAAATACAGGCCTGTACGCGTCTTGCCCGGCTACTCTCCTTGAGCACCAGAGCAGCAGGAGTAGATCTTGTCCATCCCCTCCATCTGCTCGAGGACTCCCTGACACACAGGCCTCATGCTGGCTGAGAAGCTCTGCAACATCTCCCCCAGGTCAGCAACAGCAGAGGCAGCTGTTTCCATACGTCACCAAAATCACCTAAAGAAATACTCCTGGCCTGAAAGSATCAGACTCCTGGTTCCTCCTCTGCCACTTCCCAGAACATGGAGTGTTTTTACCCTTGGCAACAACTGCCCCTAGAGAAGCACACAGGGTTGAGCAGCAAGCCCAGGCCACCCATGCACAACTGGTAGGTAACACATCTGCAGGGGCCACCAGAACGACGACGTGTCCTGTTAAATTGTTTCCCTACCTGTGACCTTTTAGTCCAGGTTGCCAGAAAAGCCCATCAAATACCAATCACCAGCTTGTAGACTCAAATACAGAACTCTACTGGATATTAAAGGAACCATGTGGAAACACTGGTTTCTAAGAGGTACTTTTCTTCCCTTGAATTCCTCCATATTGCCTGTGATAAGAGATAAATCATCTACCTCTCCTTCGATGAGGAAAAACCCATGTAACTAACATCCTCTTTCTGCTCAGCAGGGACCTCTTTCTTCAATGGCCTCATTAACATGCCTATTTAAATGCAGAAAGCATTTTTTTGTTCTCATGGTGAATTTAGCTTTGAAGTTTGATGCTTCTGTTTTAGACCTGAAGAGGTTTGTGCATGCTTGAGGCTCTGGTCATCTTTTGCCTTCCATATCCAGTGGTCAAATATRTGGTATTCTTCTTGTCCTGTGAGAGTCTTCCTTACACTGCCATACCTTCAGCATATTACCATTCTTACTACCTTTAAATTTGCAGTGCAATAAATAAATAAATTTTTAAAAATAAAATTAAAATGAAACCCAGTCATTTACCAGACTCTCTGTGACAACAGTCTCAATGTAGCCATACTTCATTTTTATTTATTATGTGCAATTGTATCATACTAGCCAGAAACACAAGACAAAATTAAAGTCAAAGTTGTGTATCTCCTATCATTAAATAAAGTGCCAATTAAGTACCAGCAAAGACTGTAGTTGGGCAAAATATTGCAAAATTCTATATTACACAAACATAAGATGATGTTATAATAACAAAAGTGTATGAAAAAGTAAAGTCTCATGTGATAGCAACTGTTTCTAATAAACGTTTAATCAGAAGCTGAAAAGTTCAAAAAAATAAACTTGACACTATACAAACTTCATTCTAGAAGCAGCAAGACTGCTCACTACCACAAATAGAACAATTTGAAGGACTACTTTAACCTGAAAAAAGCTTGATAAATTTAAAGTCAGTATTTCATAAAAAAACCCCAGCACAGTCTGAACATGAATGTTGTACTATATTTCGAGTCATCAGACACTCATTTACTAAACTTCATTTCAGAAGGTATTGAAAGTGAATAAACAATATTTCAAGCAAGCTACCAACTAATTTCAGTTTTAGAAAGTTTTAAAAACATAACATACAAAACATTTCTYTTAATCAACAGTGTTAAAATAGACCTTTTAAAATAATTTATTCAAAATATGAGCATAAAGGATAAAAAAATCCATGTTCAAAAGATGAAGTGTATTTATATTGTTTTATATATTTGGTAATACTACCAAATCTAATCAGTATCACAAAGGATACTGAGTGTAAGTGAATAGTTAGAATGAGGCAATTCTGCCCTTTTCCAATGGCCATCAAGGCAGAAGGGTTCTCTCCTCTTCCCCGTCCCCAGGAGTGAAACGAAATGAGAAGAACCACACACACTAAGACCAGAATAGAAGAACTTCACAAATTCCAACACACACTTATCTAGACCAATTTCTTGCACAAATTGATACCATTCTTATGGCAAACAAATCTGTGCAAAGCTATATTGCCAAGAATCTAGGATTATTTGAACTCTAGAGTATGTTCTTAAATACTCGCCCTACTCATCCTCTCTGACCTCCTTTTACGCCCCGAACAAGTAAAAAAGCAAAGTACTGTTGGATT